CTGTCAGGAGCAATAGTGTCTCAACAGGGTAGTCAATGGAGTACTAATATTAAAACATTTAAATGCCATGTTCTGAAGATCTATAAAGTGAAGATTAAGCATCTATGTCTGACTAATTTCATAGGTATAAGAAACATGAGTGAAGATAATCTGTAATACTCAGAACCCTAGCTATAAAACTGGTCAAAACTTCCCTGAGTAAAGCAGGGATAAATACTTAAACAATATAACTATGTACATATATATACATATACATATATACATATACATATACATATATATATATATATATATATATACACACACACATGTAAATCTCTAAAACAGAGGTAGAGTAGAAATGTTTTAACCAGAGGTAGAACTGTATAGTGCAGCATGATAAAAATATCCTAAATTGTGTTGATATACAAAATATCTTGAACATAGTAAAAGTATACATACATAGAATATGGTAAGGATATTGTGCACAAAACATCATAAATGGAAAGATTTTATACCATATGACAAAAATATAATATACAAATCATCTGGAAAGGGAATATAAACTTAATTTTACATAGGTTACCACATATAAGAATCTATAACAATGTAAGCTGTATATAACTAATAATTACTAAGATAGTTCACAAGAAGATAGGCTAATCTACCTGTATCTCATCTAAACCATACCTTTCCAAACCATACCCTATACCTGTCTAAAAGAGATACCCAAGTCTAAGCATCACCATCCATACCCAACCCTAACTAACTAAAACCAACCCTGTGAAGATGAATGTCATCCTTAAAAGCCAAGGATAGGGAAAGGGGGCATTGTTATCTTAAGATTACTTCCTGCTGAAATGAGACAATGATTGTACATTGGATCCTCTAGGAAGAAAATTTTTAGCAACAAAATTACTTGACTGGGCTGGCTGTGACATTTGTAGCGAGTCTTTGCAGTGACAGGAAACCTTGACTGATGTTCTATCTGAAACTTTGGCCAGGGTGTAATAAGAAGGTTCACTGTTTCAGCTAGCTAGCCAGGAATTGTCTTGAGCATAATGGTCCCAAACCGGTTTTAGGGTGATGTTTGTAGTCCAGATGCATCATACTGAGTCAAGTGGAAATGACGAAGGGGAGGGGGCATCTTCTTTCCAGAGAGCTCAAAGATTGCTGTTAGGAAATGTTATTATTTCTTGTGGAGAACTTAACAGTATTACCGTAAAAATTTCAACTTTTAAGGTATGCATATTGGGAAAGGAAACAATAAGCCTGAAAATGTACATGAGGAAAATTAGAATTTCAGAGAGAAAACCACGTATAGGCAAATGACAGCCCCCAGATTTTGTTTTCTTCTGCCTTACACCAATTGGCTTTTTGATACAAGGCAGAAACTGTGAATTTAACCTTAACACCATGCTTGAATTTAGAGAAGGAAAGCCAAATCCAATTCCAAAGCCAGCATTGGTTTACATGAATTGGGACTAATGGAATACTAGATAGTAAAGAGAAACAGATTCCTGTATAGAAATAGTTTACTAGAATTAAATATTTTTTTACCATATATCAGATTTCTCTTCGTTAAATGGTTCTTTCTGAAGAGCTATCTTCTCTTCTGTAGGTACCTCCATGTTCAGTGTCTTTTGGCTGTTTGAAGATGGGTGTTTTTTTTGTTTTCCTGTAAAGACAAGAACAGAACACTTCCCCTACCTTTGAGAGGTCTCTGCACAACTCATGGGAACTATTTTGGTGGGTGACTTGTCATTTCTCTTCATTAAGATGTTTCTCTTGTTCATATCGTATCTTTATCAACTTAGAAAGTTTAATGTTAGTAAGGCATTACGTAATCTGTTTGGGGGTCTTGGTTCCCCCTGCCTGTTTATAGAGCATTTCTTTTAAAGTATGATTAGATCTCTCAACTACTGCTTGTCCTGTAGGATTGTGTGGTATACTGGTTATGTGCTTTATAATACTCAAAAACTGTTTCAATTTTCTGGAGACATATGCCTGAGCATTGTTAGTTTTTATGCAGGTATGCCCATAATGGTCACTGCCTCTAATAGGTGTGTGATAACAGAATCAGCCTTTTCAGAGCTCAGAGCAGTGGCCCATTGAAACCCTGAAAATGTGTCTATAGTGTGGTGCACATATTTTAATTTTCCAAATTCTGCAAGATGAAGCCCATCCATTCTTGCTCCTTCTGTTACCTTCTCTGTATCCCCTCCTACCCCAACTGATTGACTTCTTTTTCCCCATCAGTGCCCTTCTCTTAATCTTTAAAAATTTTATGTGTAAGGGCATTTTTGTCTCCATGCATATCTATGCAGCACACCTAATACCTGTAGAGACCAGAAGAAGATATTTGAATATCTTGGAACAGGAGTTCCAGACAGTTATCAGTTGCCATGTGGATGCTGGGAATCAAATGTAGGTCATTTGCAAGGGCAACAAGTACTCTTAATTGCTGAGCCATCTCTACAGCCTTGAAACCTCTCTCTCTCTTTCTTTCTCTTCCTTCCTTCCTTTCTTTTTCTCCTTCCTTCCATCCTTCCATCCTTCCTTCCTTCTCCTCCTTCTTCATCTTTGAAACAGGCTTTCTCTGTGTTGCAGATCTGGCTGTCCTGGGGCTGGGTTTGTAGACCAGGCTGGCCTCAAACTTGCAGAGATCCACCTGCCTCTGCCTACTAAGTGCTGGGAGTAAAGGCGTGCACCACCACTGCCTGGAGTTTGTTTGTTTGTTTTTGTGAACCAATGAGTTTCTTTTAAGGTAGCTTACAGAAGCATGGGAAAGGGGGTGTTTACAGACCATTGACACATTACCAGTGGCTAAAGAAAATGTCTCCCTCCCTTTGGTGTGACTTTCTGGAGGAAATGAAAACAAGTATCTCCTCACCCTAAATAGGAAACCAATTCTAGACCAAAGCCTGCATAAAATTAACCAGCAACGGTTTTCCCAATGTCCAGCTTGGAGTTATTTACAGGAGTATGGGTGAGGGGTTTCTTATAGCACAGATGATTCAAAAGCAGTCAACTGAATTACTGAAAAGTCAGCCCAACATGGATGATGCCTTACAAAAGCTGATTACTCCGAGTTCCTGCTGTCCTTGCAGGCAGCCAGACCAGACAGGTTAGAAAGTCTCTTTTCTCCAGTAGCCCTTGCTGCTTATATCTGCTTGGAGAAGGATTTTATGAATCTTATATATTTTAGGAATTGAGACTTGTGAGTTATTTGTTTATTTATTTGTTTATTTATTTATTTATTTATTTATTTTTTGAGACATCCGTTTTCCATGTAGCTTTGGAGTCTGTCCTGGAACTTACTTTGTAGACCAGGCTGAACTTGAACTCGCTGAGATCCGCCTGCCTCATTAAAGGCATGTGCTACTGTTACTATCACCACCCAGTGAGTTGTTTACCTTTTAAATTTTTATTTTATATATGGTTGTTTTGCTTGCATATCGGTGCATTACATGCATGCCTGGTACCCTCAGAGGACAGAAGAAGCCATCATATCCCTTGGAACTGGAGTCACAGATAGTAAACTGCCAAGTAGGTGCTAGAAATTGGACCTGAGCCAGAGCTCTTAACCACTGTGTCATTGTTTCCTTGGGGAGTTTTAAGGATCATCCTCCCAGGCAGGATACAATGTTTCAATTCGGAGGGAATTGCTACAGAATAACCCTCCCTACCATCAACCTTCAACAGCATATACATTTGTTAGGGAGGGGGTTCAGACTCATGAGCGTTTCCATCCTCCAGAAATAGGAGGTTGAAGGGCCAACTTAGACAGATCTGCAGTTGTTATGAGTTCCAGAGCATTTGCTGCTTTTGAAGAGGATCTGGGTTTGGGGTCCCAGAACCGGCCTGGCAGCTCACAATTGTCTGCAACCGTTCCAGAGGATCCATCGCCCTCTTCTGGCCTCCCTGAGCACTGCACGTAGGTGTTGCACTTGAGGTAGTCATTGTAGGCGGTGATTCACTGCTGGCACTAAGGTTTCCATTTAATAACCTATGGCTTCTGGGAAGTTTCCTACAGCCATATAGTTACTTTTGTTTTGTTTCTCGAGACATGGTTTCTCTGTGGCTTTGGAGCCTGTCCTGGAAGTAGCTCTTGTAGACCAGGCTGGCCTCGAACTCATAGAGATCCTCCTGCCTCTGTTTCCAGAGCTCTGGGATTAAAGGCGGTGCCACCACCTCCCCGGCCTAGGTACTTTTTATTTTGTTCTTTAATTTTTAATTTTTGTTTTTGCTACAGATTTATGTTTATGTGAGTTTTGCCTGCATGTATGTATGCACAGCTCTTGTGTGCCTGGTGCTGGACGTCAGAAGAGCACTGAAACTGGATTTACGGATGCATGAGCCTCCTTGTAGCATGTAGGTGCTGGAAATCCAAGCCAGGTACTCTGTAAGATCAGCAAACGCGCTTAGTTGCGGAGCCATCGCTTCATCTTTCTTTTTTTCCAGATAAGGTCTCTCTATGTAGCCCTAGCTGGTCTTGAACCCACAGAGACCCACTTGCCTCCCAAGTGTTGGGACTAAAGGCGTGCGCCACCACGTCCGACTTTTTCAATGTTTATTTATTCATTTTTGGTTTTTTGAGACAGGGTTTCTCTGTGTTGCTTTGGAGGCTGTCTTGGAACTAGCTCTATAGATCAGGGTGATCTCGAACTCACAGAGATCCGCCTGCCTCTGTCTCCCGAGTGCTGGGATTAAAGGCGTGCGCCACCACGTCCGGCTTTTTCGACATTTATTTTAGATACAATTGTGTTACGTAGCACCGGTTGGCCTGGTGTTATTAACTCCCGCCAGCCCTCTGGCTCGGCCTCCAGGGTGCTCCACAGCGATTCTTCCTTAGAGCCGGTTCTCACGGAGTTAAGCCCAGCCCACTAGAGGACTTTTCCATCATCTGTGGATCCGGACAAACCTTTCCATGAGCAGCTAAAACACAGCGTGAAGGACGGAAGAGTGCGCTCCCGAATCCGAGACGCGGTGTTCTCGCGAGAGTTGACGCCAAGCAATCATGTGACAGTCCAAGATGGCGATGCCCGGGGAGGTGGACGAAGAGTCGGCGGTGTACCTGGTGGTGAGTGGTATCCCCCCGGGGTTACGCTCGGCCCAGCTGCGGAACTACTTTAGCCAGTTCCGGGAACAGCGCGGCGGAGGCTTCCTGTGTTTCCACTACCGGCATCGGCCGGAGAGGGGCCCTCCGCAGGCGGCGGCCCGAGCTGCGCCCGCCCGCGACTCTGTCCCCCTCCAGACCCGCACCTGCTGCTGCATCGTCTCGGTGCGGGGAGTGGCACAAGCTCAGCGGCTGCTTCGCATGTACTCGGGCCGCCGGTGGCTGGACTCTCAGGGGACCTGGCTCCCGGGTCGTTGTCTCATCCGCAGGCTTCGGCTCCCCACCGAGGCTTCAGGTAAGAGGGAGAGAAAAGGGGCTGGCCTCACGGGCTTTGGAACGGAGATAGGTCAGACTTGCCAGACTCCACCGTTTTGGAGTTTTACGTCAGTTCTGGACAAAGCTGCACATTTTCAGCCTCGGCTTGCTACTTAGTGTCACTCGGGGACTTAAAGGACGAAAACCCAAACAGAAGCCTGTATAGATGAGTTTTCAGTTTCTCTCTTATTAGGACCATTTCTCTGAGGGGTTGGTTTTTGTACTGGCAGGATTTCCCCAAAAGGAAATTTGGAGCCAGGCAGTGATAGCGCACGTTTTTAACCCCAACACTTGAATCTTTGAGTACGAGGCCCACCCTCTACAGAGCGAAGGCCAGGACAGCCAGGGCTACACAGAGAAACAAATAAAGGAAACTTGGTTTCTTCTAACCTAACCTAAGCGTCTAGAAAACTGGCTCTGCAGAGGAAAGAATTAACTCTAGCGAGCACGGGAGATCACTGTTGGGCTTACTGTACCACGGGCCACCAGAGACAGCAGAAGGGGGCGGAGCACAAGAATGTCCATTCAAGAAAAGGAAGCCAAGCTTTTCAAAATGCCAGATGAAGAAGTTTATACAAATGATTTTGAAATAGTGTCAGACAGGAAACAGCTTTATCCCTGACTTGAATATTACTAAAAGAAAGCTTCTAGGGTTTTAACATCTGTTTTTTCCCCTTCCCTAAGATCTAGGGCCCTTTCCTTTTAAGACCCGGAAGGAATTACAGAGTAGGAAGTCAGAGAATGAAGCTTTTACTCTAGCCGACCTGAGGCAGCTACCCGAGCTGAATCCACCAGTGCTGATGCCCAATGGCAACGTGGGCACACCCCTGCGGGTCTTCTTGGACCTGATCAGGGCCTGCCGTCTGCCACCTCGAATCATCACCCAGCTGCAGCTCCAGTTCCCCAAGACAGGCTCCTCCCGGCGCTATGGCAATGTGCCCTTCGAGTATGAGGACTCAGAGACCGTGGAGCAGGAAGAGCACGTGTACACTGCAGAGGGGGAGGAAATCCCCCAGGGAACCTTCTTGGAAGACCCCCCCGCCAGCCTCATGGATGAGCCTGAGGATGAAGGGCAGCAAGAAGAGGAAGAAGAGTCTCACTCTGATGATGTGAGTAATTTCGCTGGCCAGGGCTGGGGCTGCATCTCATTTGGTAGAATGCTCACCCAGCAAGCACAAAGCCTGAGTTTGAAGCCCAGAGTGCATAAAACTGGCAAGATGGTACACAACTGCAATCCCAGCACTAGGGGAGGTTGAGGCAGGAGGATAAGAAATTCAAGATAATCTTTAGCCCAGGATACATGAGACCCTGATCTAATGAAAAGAAGAAGAAAAAGAAAAAAGAAAGCCAGGCATTAGTATCATTCTCCTGCCACATGTATGATGGAGGTTCCCCCATGGAATAGAAGCACTCCAGCAGTGAACACAAAACTCTGTTTATATTTTGTGATGGGGCAGGTGGCCAGGTTTTGATCAGGACATTTCCAAGTGTATTCTCTTCAGTACTCAGAAAGTGTTGAAGGCTATGGGAAAGCTCCTTTTCACAGATGGAAGGTACGGAGCAAGAGATGTATAGGAATTTGCCCAGAAGCGTATCGTATGGGCAGAGTTTGGATGGGAGCCCAGTTCCTTCTTGAGGCTTCTCCAACCTCTGGGCTTCATCGGGTGCCTTAGTCTGCCTCTATCCTGGCCTCACCAGCCTCTCCAGTCTTAGCTTTGTTAGCAAAATAGACTTTTATTCATCTCCTTTCTCCATGCATCAAATGAAGGGTTTGTTTGAAACCTTCCAGTTATTTGTTTGTTTTGCTTTGCTTTGGAGATGGTCCATGTAGTCCATGCTGACCCTCATTCGAGGCACAGTGTTTGAGAGACCCAGCCCAGTGCTGTGAGTGTGCGTCAGCACCGCCTTTCCCTCACTTTCCTCTAGCACCTCCTCTCCGGCATTGGTCCCTGTGGCCGTGTGGGATTTAACCAGGATAGGGAATCTGGGGAGCCAAGCCAAGAGTCATCTGTCGTTACACAAGTCCAGTTAGGCACACTGAAGTAAGAACTAGTGCTCAGCTCAGGCTGGAGAGAAGGCTCAGCCATTAACACTGGCTGCTCTTCCAGAGGACCTGGGTTCAAGTCCCAGCACCCCCAAGGCAGCTCACTCCTGCTGTAACTTCAGTTCCAGAGCTCCTGACATAGACATATGTGCAGACAAAACACCAAAAAAAAAAAAAAAAAAAAGAAAGAAAGGAAAGAAAAAGAAGATTTAAAAATAAATTTAAAAAGGAAAATAAAAAACTAGTGCTCAACTCTAAAGACATTCTACGATCCATTTCCTGCCCTGGAAGAGGCTAAATTTTTAACTGAGAAAGCTCAGAAAGGCTGTGTGTGATGATGGCCTGGGGTTGCCTGTGGTTCGGCTGTTCTTGGCACAGTGTGTGGGCAGCCTTACCTCTGACCTAGGTTCCCTCCTGTAAAATGGGCACAAAGGCACTTACCTCACAGGGCCACTGAGATCATTCCAGGAACTCAATTATAGGAAGGGCCTGAGCATCAAAAAATGCTACTTGGTGCTTGTCCTTGTCCCTTCTTCGTGACATAATTGAGAAAGGCTGAAGTGTGTACTGAGAGGCACACTAGTGAGACAGCTGTGTACTGAGTGGGCTTTGTGTAGCTGGAGGCCTCAGCAGGAGGGTCTGACCGGCCGACCGACCGAGTGGAGAAGCCAAGGGAGTGGGGGAGGAACTGTGGCCAGGAGCACAGAATTGAGAGCGAGTCGGGCGAGAGGCTGGGGGATGGCAGTGGCAGGTGTCAGTAAATTTTAGGTCTAAATGTGCTGCCTCTGGAGAACCCTGAATGAAGGTGTGGTACTGGGGTCAGGTCTCACGCCCCTGCTGGACCTGAAGCTCCTCCTGGTGGTCAGACATGCGGGTCACCTCTCCCTCCTCCTGTCTCCCAGGATGATGACCGGTGTGAGGAGTGGGAGCGTCATGAGGCACTGCATGAGGATGTGACCAGGCAGGAGCGCACTTCTGAGCGGCTCTTCGAGGAGGAGATTGAGCTCAAGTGGGAGAAGGGTGGCTCTGGCCTGGTGTTCTACACCGATGCTCAGTTCTGGCAGGAGGAAGGAGGAGGTAAGGCTGTGGTTACTGTGATAGACACTGGTGATGAATTAACTTCTAAAGGGAAGAGTTAGCTGAGATTGACATGTCAGGGCATGGGCAATTGGCTTTTATACCTGTGGTGAGGCTGTTCAGTGTGGTTAGAGTACACGGTGCAGGAAGCCTATTCACCTCATGGCTGGGATGCAATGGAGAGAGAAGGAAGAAGATACCAGGTCCTATGGTCCCTTTTAATGTCATGCACGGAGCTCTACCTCTTAAAGTTCCCATTACTTTGTGCTGTGCCTGGGACACATGGACTTTGTGGGGATGTTTAGGATCTAGACCATTAGGTTGGTACCCAGGCAAGGCCTGTCAAAGCAAGGTTGGGGCCTCTGCTCCACATAGTGGATTCTCTGACTGTCTAAATAAAGCTAGGAAATGGCTTCCGTCTTGTGTAAAAGCAGAGCAGACTATTCATCCTATTTTGGAATGAGGAATTGTCTAACTTAGCTCAAAGCCCAAATGGGAATCATTGGGGTGGGCACAAAGCTTGGTGGTAGAGCACCTTTAGCTTGTGCAAATCTCTGGGTCTGCCCCAGAACCAAAGAACGCCGTCCTTAACCCATGCTTCTATCTATCCCTGTAGATTTTGATGAGCAGACAGCTGATGACTGGGACGTGGACATGAGTGTCTACTACGACAAAGGTACTGGACAAGGGGTGGCAGTCCTGGGTGGAACTTGTGCCCTAGTCCCATATGTTAGGAGGTTAAGTCAGGGAACTAGGGGCAGCCCACTGTACACTCGTTTTCAGTTTGCTCAAGAACGGTTCTAGAATCCCGATGCATACCAAAATCTGAAGGTGCTGTTATGAAACGATGTACTTGTTTAGACTTACACACACCCTCCGTGCATACTTTAAATAATCTCTCTCCAAAAAGTTAGCAAGTGCTGGAGCTATATCTCAGTGGTACTTTGCTAGCATATGTGAGGCCCTGGATTCAGTTCACCAGCTATGGTGGTGTACAGTTTGGAATTCCTGCACTGGGGAAGTGAGTGAGGCATGAAGATTGCTGTAGGTTTGAGGCCATTATGGGCACAGAGTGAGAGCTTATCTCAAAACCAACCAGTAAGTTATCCGTAGATGTTTTATAGATCCTAATGCAACATAAACACTATGCAAATAGTATTACTTAGGGAGTAATGGTGGGGTGGGAGTCTGCGTGTTGATACAGGTGCAGTTATTTTCTGAGTAGTTTCAAAGTGTCGGATCTGCAGGTGCAGAACCTGTAGAGACAGGCTGACTGTACTCACCCTCTCTGCTTGAGGGAACTCACTGCCTGGAGTTGAGTGCTACTAGTAGCAGGCCCTAGGGACACCCCTGGGGGGCTGGGTGGACAGGCTCTGAATAGAAGCTTGGCCTTTGAGCAACTCATGGTTCTGAAGAGAAAGTGACCTGGATTTTTATTGTTTCTGTTGTGGTTTTTGTTTGTTTGTTTTGACACAGTCTGTGTGCCCCTGGCTTTCAGTCTGGCTGCTCTTTTTTTTTTTTTTTTTTTGTAATTATTTTGGTGTTTTGAGATAGGATCTCACTGGGTTACTCTGTAGAGCTACACTATGTACACCAGGCTGGCCTTGAACTTACAGAGATCCACTCACAGAGATCCACGTGCCTCTGCCTCTTGGGATTAAAGGCATGCAACACTACACTCAGCTAAGATTTATTATTTTTATTAGGTGTATGTGTGTTTTGCCTGCTTATAAGTGTAACATGTGCCTGGTACAATTCAGATTACCTGGAATTGGAGTTCCAGTTGTGAGCTGCCATGTACGTGCTGAGAAATGAACCCAGGTCCTGTAGAGAATCAGTACACACTCTTTAACTGCTGAGCCATCTCTCTAGCTCCCAGTAACCTATTTCTGATTTCATCTCTGTATGTTCTGTGACTTTTCTCCACTGTCCCTCATCTGTAAGATGAGAACTGTGCTTCCTATTCCTGTGTGTTTCCAGTCTTACGAGATTCAGGACATTATGAAAATGAAGCAGTAAGTCTTGTGAGGGGATCCCAGATATCTGAGCCTCCTAGTGAGAGTGACATTTTTACAAAATGGGTTATGGTTCCTCAGATGGTGGAGACAAAGACGCCCGTGACTCTGTCCAGATGCGCTTGGAGCAGAGACTCCGTGATGGCCAGGAAGATGGCTCTGTGATAGGACGCCAGGTGGGCACTTTTGAGCGCCACACCAAGGTAAGAGCACTGCCCAGCCCACTGACACTTTTCCTTTTCCTGTGTTTCTTCTCCAAGAACCCTGCCTCCCTCTTTCTCTTTCCTTTCCTTTCCTCCGTTCCTCCCCTTCTCCCTCTGTCCCTTACTTCCTTTGAGGCAGGGTCTTCATATGTAGTTCAGCCTGACCTTGAACTCACATCATGCCTCTGCCTCCCAAGCAATAATGGGGCATGCACCACATTGTCACACTGAAGCCACCTGTCTTAATTCTTGCTTTTGCAGGGCATTGGTCGCAAGGTGATGGAGCGCCAGGGCTGGGCAGAAGGCCAGGGCCTGGGCAGTAGGTGCTCTGGGGTGCCTGAGGCCCTGGATGGTGATGGCCAGCACCCCAGATGCAAGCGTGGATTGGGGTAAGTGCACCCCTAAAGGATTCCTTAGGTTATCATCCAGCCTCGATGCTATTTGGTTTCTCTCTTCCTGTTGCTTTTGGAAATGCAAGCTGGGTACCCTAAGAGATGACTGTCATAGCAGAAGTAGGATGAGTAGATGCTGTTCTTCATGTTCATGCTATATCAAATCTTAGAACTTAATGGGATCATGAATCCCCCAGGAAGTCATTTCATTGAGTCTGTTTGGGCTTGATAAGGGAGTCCCGTTGTGTGGATGAAAATGCCAAGGTTCCTTACAGTTGGCACAGACTGTCTCCAGAAGTTAGAGAGTAGAATTCCAGATAAATGCTTTGTCTTTGGTGCTGGGGGTGTGGCTCAGGGATGAGTATTTGCCTGGCCCTGGGTTCAAGCTCTATCAGCACAAGACAGTTGTATATTACAGGACAAACCAGATATGTAGTAGTTACTAGAGTCCCTTGCCCTGTTTTATCCAGGTACCATGGAGAGAAACTACAGCCTTTTGGGCAACTGAAGAGGCCCCGTGGAAATGGCTTGGGGCTCATTTCCACAATCTACGATGAGCCTCTGCCCCAAGACAAGATGGAATCCTTGCTCCGACGCCAGCCACCTACCAGCATGAAGTTTCGGACAGATATGACTTTTGTGAGGGGTTCCAGTTGTGCCTTGGAAAGACCCTCGGAGCCTGAGTGAGGGTCCTTCATCAGGGTCACTCAGTTGTAGGAAAACAGCCTAGGTCTTGCCTTGTGGACCTGTAAAGCAGCCAAGAGCCTAGAAGTCTGTACAGCAGGCTCATGTGCTCAGGCCTGAGCATGCCTGTCGCTTCTCTACCTCAAAGATGACTTCAGAGAAGGCCCCTCCCTCGCGTGGGGTGGTCCCTGAACCCTAGGCCATGTTTGGGCTCGCCCCAGAACTTGGAAGATCTGGACTGCCAATGGCACATTCAAATCGGTTTGGGGGGTCTGAAGGACGGACGACATGCGGCCCAAGAAAGGAAAAGGGACCTGAGAAGAACTGGTCCGGAGAGGGTCGGGTGGTCCCTCACCACCTGTGTCCTCTGCTGGGGGCGGGTCTACGCGAGAATAAACGAGTTTAGAACGGGACCCAGCCTGGAAGTCTGCCTTAGAGAAGCCAGGGAAACCCTGAGACTGACTCCGAGGCGGGAGGAGTGCGGCTGTGTAACCACAACTCCGTCGCCGGACTATGCCTTTGGCGTGTGGGCGGGACTTCCTCTTAGACAACTTCCGGTGGTGTCCGGAAGTCGGAGCTTTCCCCTTCCTTGCCGGTTAGTTTGCAGGCTTTCTGCGTGGGTCGCCTTGTTTTAGTTCGGGAGGCGCCTGTGGGCTGCCGTGCTCCGCCCATGGCGGGGGCTGCACCGGCCACGGCCTTCGGGCAAGCGGTGATCGGGCCCCCGGGCTCGGGGAAGACCACGTACTGCCTGGGCATGAGTGAGTTCCTGCGCGCGCTCGGCCGGCGCGTGGCGGTCGTGAACCTGGACCCGGCTAACGAAGGGCTGCCTTATGAGTGTGCCGTGGATGTGGGCGAGCTGGTGGGGCTGGGCGACGTGATGGACGCGCTGCGCCTGGGGCCCAACGGTGGCTTGCTCTACTGCATGGAGTACCTGGAAGCCAACCTGGACTGGCTGCGCGCCAAGCTCGAGCCCCTCCGAGGCCACTACTTTCTCTTCGACTGCCCCGGCCAGGTGGAGCTCTGCACGCACCATGCCGCCCTTCGCAGCATCTTCTCCCAGATGGCACAGTGGGACCTCAGGGTGCGTCTTCGGTCGGGCAGGCCCATTATGCAGGTGGAATCCCTAAGATGGAGAGGCGAGTAGATGCCACGCCCCCAAGTCACACTTGGAGATAAGGGTTGAGTTAAGTTTGGAGCAGAACTAAAGGTTCTGAGTTAGAATTTTAGCTCTGCCACCAATCTCTGTGATCTGGTCAAGTTTTCACTTAACTGTTTTGTCATCTCTAAAGTGAACGTGTTCTCAATTGGGGATTTAAAAACAGAACAGTGGAGGTGATTACATAGACAGTGGCTCAGCAATTGTTTAGTTGGTGTGCAAAACTGTAATGAAAGAAAGGAGAGACAGATGCAGTGTAATTTGAACCTGTTTTCCACTACAGGGCTCTCTGCAAGATACTTTGTAAGAGGGATTGGAGATTTAGCTCAAAAGTAGAGATCTTGCCTAACAAACAGGCCACAGGCCCTGGATTTGGTCCCCAGCACAGTAGGTAAGAAAAAAAGGTACTAAGAAAAAAATATCCAGTGTTTCCTGGGAGGAAGATATGATGCTGGCTATTAGAATTAAATACAAGAGGCAGAGAAAGTGGCACTTGGCATTGGAGGCAGAAAGATCATGAGTTTCAGGCCATAAAACCCTGTTGCAAGTACATGCACAAACAAGGAAATAGAAGCAGATCACAGTGAGGAAGGCTTGAGCTGCTGGTCTCACAGTGGAGACATGGCCAAGCCCCTCCCACTGCAGTCGGTCTTTCCCGCTCACTCTGTGTCTTCTGCTCACAGCTGACAGCGGTCCACCTTGTAGATTCTCACTACTGCACAGACCCAGCCAAGTTCATCTCGGTACTGTGCACCTCCCTGGCCACCATGCTGCACGTGGAACTGCCCCATGTCAACCTCCTCTCCAAGATGGACCTTATTGAGCACTATGGGAAGCTGGGTAAGAGCCCCTGCTGGGAGCATGAAGGAAGCTGCTAACTGCTTTCCTGACTTCTGACCATTTATTTTGTGCATCACTGTCAGATACGACACTAGTTCTTACAGCAGGTCCCACAAAGTAGGTACCTGTCCACATGTGCCCAATAAATGGTAGATGAAATCACACGATTAGCTAGGTATGATGGTGCGTGTCTGTAACCCCAACACTTGGGAGATTAAGAGAGGAGGATCAGGTGTTCAAGGCCAGCCTGGGCTAAATAAGACCTTCTCTACAAAGGGAAAGAAGGAAACAAGTGCTTGGGTTTCTTGTGATACTGGAATAGACCCTGGAGCCTCACACCTGCTAGGTATATATTCACCCTTCAGAAACTGCCCCAGCTCTCATCTCTCTTTAAGATTTGTTTTAGGCCAGGTTATCGTGGTACCCGCCTTTAGTCCCAGCACTCAGAAGGCAAGAACAGGTAGATCTCTGTGAGATAGAGGCCAACCTGTTCTACATAGTTCCAGAACAGTCAGAGCTACATAGTGAGACCCTGACTGAAAAATCTGTGTGTGTTGTGTGACTGCAAAGAAGCCAGAAGAGGTGTTTGATCCTCTGGAGGCAGTGTGAGCCTCCCGTGTGGATACTAGAAACTGAACTCAGGTCCTTTGGAAGAGTAGCAAGCACTCAGGTTGCCTCCCTTTGAATTTTTTCGTTTATGGGGTACACATGTTTGTGTGGAGGAGGTCAGGGCAGCTTGTGTGAATCTATTATCTATTTCTGCTGTGTGCCTTCCAGGGATAACTTGGGTTGTCAGGGTTGGCTCCATGTCCCGTGCCCACTGAGCAATCTCATAGGCCTTCTTTCATTTTAATTAGGGTCTCACGAAATTGCCCAGACTGACCTTAAGTTTACTCTGTAGTCTAGACTAGCCTTGAACTTCCAGTCCTTCTGCCTTAGCTGCCCTTATATCTGGGATTACCAGCCTGTGCCACCAGACCAAGACAGTATTTCTCTTCTTAGTAATATCACTTCACTGCGCCTGCTGATATTTTAGTGAGTGTAAATGATGGAAGCCAGTGTAACACTCAGGCCTGTAATGTAATCTCAGCACACAGGAGTCTGAGGCAGGCGAACTGCTGTGAACACTGCCTGGGCAGCTACGTAGTGAGTCACAGGCCAGCAAGAGCTGAGGTGTGAGACTGTCTAAGAAAAAACAATGACAGACAGACAAGGTAAAGCCAGGCTTTGGGTCTTTCTGGTCTCACGTTGCTACAGACAGAATCCAATACCTCGTTCGTGCCAGGCAAGTGCTCCAAGCTGAACTCTTCCTCAAGTCCATTGGTTATGGTTTTGTTTTTTTCCAGAGCTGAGGACCAAACCCAGGGCCTTGCTTGCTAGGCAAGCCACTGAACTAAATCCCCACCCCTGGTTATGGTTTTTAACCCCCTTTGGGTGCTAGGGATAGAACCCAGGCCCTTAAGGATGCTAAACCTTGTTGCTGAGCTACGGCTCAGCCCCTCCAGTCTTTTGGCCCTTAGCCTAATGCCCGCAGCTTCTAACTCCAGTTTCTCTCCTTAGCCTTCAACCTGGACTACTATACCGAAGTCCTGGACCTCTCCTACCTGCTTGAGCACCTGGCATCTGACCCTTTCTTCAGTCACTACCGTCAGCTCAATGAGAAACTAGTACAACTCATTGAAGACTACAGCCTGGTGTCCTTTATCCCTCTGAACATCCAGGTAATGGATAGGAAGAGATGTCTTCCCTGTGGCTGTAGCTCTGACATGCCAAGGACACAGGAAGATGCAATGGCTCCACCGATAGTCTGTGTTCTGGGCCTGCCCTTGGCTTGTTTCAGGACCAGGAGCTGAGGGAGCATGATCTCAGTAAAAGGCATCGACCAGACTTTAGTCCTGTGATTCTGAATCACTGGCTCCTCTTTGTGCATGCTCCTCCTAAGTGAGAGTGGACATGAGTGAGTCCGGAGACTCACAGCAGAATTCGACCAAGGGAACAGATTTCTGGGTCCATTTTGCTGTGTGACTATGTTGAGTTTGCAAAGTGAGTGGGTCCCCAACCTCTGTGCCTCTCATCGTGGCTGTGGCAAAGTAGCCCAGGAGACATGGTGTTCTAGATTCCTTTCTGCGGTGGGGGACTTGAACTAACTTGGCTTTTCCTCTAACAGCACAGTTGTCTTCTGTATGAGGAGAGTGTGAAGGCTAGCACTGTGCTGAGAGCTGAGCATGCCTTATTTGATTTGTATATTTCACTGAGACATATGGACTCTTGTCACTGTTGTATATGGATGAAGAAACTGTTATGAGCCAAATATCACATATTTGTTGGGTGCCTCTAAAGGCTGCTTGGCCCAGTAAGAGCAATGAGACAGTTTTCTAGGATGGTAGGGATGCTGCCATAGGAGAAAACCCTAGGCAGTGCCTGCATGAAGGAGCTGATCTCTTCTAATCTGGGCAGTTGTCTGGCTAGCCAGCCCCCAGGGGAATGGACTTTTCTAGGGCAAGGATACTGCATGTATGACTTGTCATGGGAGGAGTTAGAGGATAGCAGGTAGGTGTGGCTTCAGCTCTCCACACTTGATCCACTCATTGAGTTACTTCTCTTCTCTGCTCAGGACAAGGACAGCATCCAGCGAGTCCTGCAGGCTGTGGATAAAGCCAATGGTTACTGTTTTGGGATTCAAGAGCAGCGAAGCCTGGAGGCCATGATGTCCGCTGCGATGGGAGCTGACTTTCACTTCTCCTCGTATCCTTGGGGAGCATGGGAAGGGACAGCGGAAAAGCTGCAGGCACAGAAGCTAGAGATGAGAGGGCCAAGTGCGCGGGGCTCAGTTCGCCTGCTGTGTCATGTAGGAAAAAGGAGGCGCCAGAGTGAGGAAGGAGATGTGGCTGGTGATGGAGGGCTGGGGTCTAGCCCAGGATAGGATGCTCGCCCGCAGCCATGAGGCCTTGGGTTTGCCCAGCACCAAAGTGGTGGGAAGTGTGTGTAGATGGCAGCTCAGGGGTAAGGATTGATTTATTTTGGTGTTTTGAGACAGGGTTTCTCTGCCCCTAGCTGGCCTGTACCCTGTGTAGTGCAGGCTAGTCTTAAACTATTGATCTTCCTCCAGCTTTCTTAGGAGAGTCCCTGTAGGTGTGGGAATGCACTTCCTGGGTGTGATGAGGGGCTGCAGAGGCTGTTTGTTTGTTTATGGAAAATGCATTTCCTGGGTGTGATGAGGGGCTGCAGAGGTTGTTTGTTTGTTTTTGGTTTAGCCAAAAAGTTCCTAAAGTCTTGCTAGATAAAGCATGTAGTGAAGTAGAACAAAGGTGCCCTGAGTGAAGTTTCATGCCTGTAAACCGACACTTGAGAAAATGAGGCAGGAAGATCATCAGACGCTTGAGGCCAGCCTGGGCTACAAAGTCAGATCTGTCGCAAATAAATAACAAATGAGGCCGGGCAGTGGTGGTGCATGCCTTCACTCTAATAACAACAAAAGGGAAGAATAGAGAAAGGTATGTGGGTTGGAGAACACGGAGGAGGTAGATTAGGACAGCCAGTGACAGACAGGTCATGGGTAGAGAGGACAGGTTTGTCTCTAGCAGGGATGCGCTGGGTCTGAGGGCACCACTGGACACAGCTGTGCAAATGGCAGCTGGGCTTTTGGTGTTGGTGTTAGGTTCTAACGCGATTGTGTCGGAAGCTGTCCAAGAGGCAGGAAGGGAAAGGCCTGGTCCTCCAGGTCAGTAGTCTCAAAGACCTAGCATTTGCCCAGGGTGCTGGAGGTGGGAGTTCCAGTCTGGAGGGTGGCGGCAGACGGTCCGTGTCGGGCCCTGGAGAACAGTCGCTAGGATGGTGACTGTAGAGCATGCAGTCCCCATGGGATGAGCGGACCAAGGAGATGGCTCATGTGTAGCCAGTGTTAGCAGTGTCTGGTCTTCCTTTGGTGAATTGCCCTGTGTCGTGTCCCAGGGGAGGGAGGAGACCCTTTGCCTCGGTAAGAAAAGGGAAGTCACACTGGTTATTGCAGCAGTTGTTTCCCGGGTGTGGAGGAGGCACTCTTCATTTTATGATTACAGCTCTCGTGTGACTTAGAGGAAAAGGAAGTGGCAGGGGCAGGATTTGAACACCATGGTCTGTCTCTAAAGCATATGCTACACAAAGCCAGAGGGCTGGTGCTTCCTGGTCCTTTGGTCTAAGCAGTGTGGGAAAGAAACAGGAACCCCAGGGAAGGAATGCTTGAAGGCAGTTCACATCCAGCTGTGGGAACTATGACAGACACAGATGTGCTTGGGTGGTGGTCGTCAGTGGAGGTCAGATCCTGCCTGGGCCAGGCCCTCATCCCCTGCCTGTGATCTAAGCCTTGACAAGCCTTCCCTCCCACAGCACTCTGGGCATCCAAGAGAAGTACTTAGCATCCCCGGACCAGACAGCCGAGCAGGAAGCCATGCAGCTGTAACAGCTGGGCCTGGGTCACGGGCAGCTGGATATGGACCCAAAAGCTGCATCCAGCCAGAGCAGCTGGGAGGAAGCAGCCATCCCTGCTGAGGTCTTCTGGATAAAAAGCCCCCTCGTCGGTGTCTTCAGACTCGCCCTTCCCCCACGGAATGCTACCTAAATTGAGGACTGGCTCTCCTTAGGCTATAGTGGGATGTACAATGATATGAGATTATTTTCTATTTTTTGTGTGCTTCAAACTTGTCTCAAACCCTTGGGAACCAAGGATTCGGAGCAGAACAAAGGAATGTCTCTGTCCCTGCAAATAGTCCTATTTCTCTGTTTTGTTTTAATTACATTTAATGTTTGTGCACAAGTGTGTGTGAGTGGGCAGGTATGGGAATGGAGGAGGGGATAGGTCGTGTGAGATGCTTCTCTCCTGCGTTCTGGGGTTGAACTCGGGTTATGGGACTTGGTGACAGGTCCATCTATCTGCTCCATCTCAGCAGCCCAGTGTGTTTCTTCACTCAGGGTTCACACAGCCTCAGCTCAGGTAGGTGTGTGTACACAACTCTCCTGTGAGTTGTTCATTCTTCAGTGCCAACAGCTTTAAGCTCAGGCATCTGCAGGTGACTCTTCCTCCCCAGACCTTATTTAATACTTTATTTTTATCCTATGATTTACATGGTTTTTGCCTAATTAGTCAAAGTTTGAAAGATTAGCCAGACAGTGGTGGAACATGTCTTTAATCCCAGTACGTGGGAGGCAGAGGAAGGTGTTCAAGACCAGACTGGCCTACAGAGAAAGTTCCAGGACAGCCAGAGCTACACAGAGAAACCCTGTCTCAAAAAATCAAAAAGGAAAGGGAAAAAAAAAAAAAAGATTATGATGACTAACTCAGTAGCTAGCATGCACAAAGTGCCAGGGTCAATCCCCAGCACTGCCAAAAGATAAAGATTACTTCAAAAATGAAGTTATTTTAATTTTGTGTGGTGGTATGTATACCTCTAATCCCAACACTTGAGATGTGGAGGCAGCAGCATCAGGGGTTGAAGGCCAGCCTTGGCTATATATTGAGTTTCAGGAAAACCTTGGCTATATGAAGCCCTGTTTCTACAGAAGGAGATTTGTGCAAAGTGATTTGTTTAAGGAAAATATTTAATGTATACTAGAACAGTTGTCTGGAGACACCTGTGCAGCTAGGGGGGCTGCAATTGGCATTTTCAGCCAGTAGGTGGCACAATAGACTTAGTTTTGCCCTTAACATCAGGAAGAGCCTGATGGCCAAGGGATACTTGTGCCCGAAGGTTTTATCTGTAAACCCACTGCAGCTACACATATGCTTGATATTTTGCAAAGAGCCTGCACACATAGGGTCCTCATGTGGCTCTTACAGCAACCCAGAGAGAGGCAAGGTAGAAATGTCATTAACCTGGCTCTCATAGCTTACTTTGCTGACTTGGGGATGTCCCCTCTTGGGTATATATACAGATGAAAAGGTACAGCCATCATCCCTTGGAGTCTGTAGTTAGGCAAGAGAGAAAGTTGAGACGTATGTACAGGTGTTATGAGTACCGATTGAATCGATGGTGCTCTCTGCTTCGGGCATTGGGAGAATCCAGTTTAGCAGTGTGGTTGGGAAGTGGCAGGGAGACAGGCAGCTCATCTTTGCTTTCCAGTGTGGTGTGGGCAGCCACAGCTGAGAGCGGAAGGGGGCAGCCGGCCTCAGCTCCCACGCCCCGCTGTGGAGGGCTAATAACCGGGTGCTGTCTCCCCAGCCTCTTTCATCTCAAGAGTTCAAAGTGCCTCGCCCCTATTAATGCCCTGAACAGTAGGTGGGGAGTACCAACAATGCAGTCCAGGGAAACTGAGACCAGGAGCCACAGCCTGGGGTTTGCTCTGACTCACCCGTGGGGCCTGGAGCCCAGGAATCCTGACGCCCAGGCTGCTGGGTGAGTGCCTTGCCTGGGTGGGAGGGTGGGTTCTGTGCTTTTGAATGTGCCAGTAGCTATGCTTATGGGTTTTGATGCTTTCCCATCACAGGCCTTAAGTCATCAGAGCAAACCACATGCAGGGGCTGAAGGCATCATCTCAGGGTCACAGCTCACATGTGCACCGCAGCATGAATTCACTGCACTCCCAGAGTGGGGGTGGGGAGCAAACTACAACTTATTTGGAGACTAGCATGTTGTTTTTTTTTTTTTGTTTTTTTTGTTTTTTGTTTTTTTTTTTCCCTCAATAAATTGAAGTAGTTCTCATCCAGGCTCCATGGTACACATCTGTATAGTCCCAGTAGTAGATGGAGGTGGGAGGATCAGATGGTCAGCTTTTGCTACTTAGCAAGTTCAAGGCTAGCCTGGGCTACATGAGATCTGTCTCAAATAAACATACAAACTAATGAATGGAGTTTCTGGTTTTTTTTTTCAAGATAGGGTTTTGCTGTGTAGTCCTGGCTGTTCTGGAACTTCCTCTGTAGACCAGGCTGGCCTCTAACTCAGAGATCAAATCCGCTTGCCTCTGCCTCCTCCCCAGCGCTGGAATTAAAGGTGTGTGCCATCATCGCCCAGCTAACAAAAGGAGTTTCTGGTCTGTGAACTTATACTGAGGTGATAAGATGTAGTGAGATAGTCCTTCTGTAGCACTGGCCACGCCCATTGGGGGTGGAGCCATGGGCGGAAGTGACCTGTGGAAGGAGGTCGGAGGGGGCCAGAAAAGGCGCTCTCTTTCTGGCGTGACTCGGACAGGAGAGGATCGGGTTGAATTTCCTGGTGTTCATATGTCTAGGTTGTAAGTTATTTCTCCCTGAATAAACATCTATTTGGCCTATTTGTTTATCCTGATCCTTATTTACCGCAATATCTGGTGTCAGAAGTGGGATTGATTTTAGCAGACTTGCTCCTTGTCAGTACAAAGAGCAGACACTGCTTCCTTTATCTTTTGTTTCTCTTTAGACTGAATCAACCTTGTGTAGCTCTGGGTGGCCTTGGATTCACAGAGATGCATTTGCCTCTTAATTCTGAGTCCTAGGATTAAAGGTGTGCATCACCACTGCCTAGCTCTATAGCTGCTGGGACTAAAGGTGTGTATCACCACTGCCTGTCCTCTATAGCTTTGAGGCTGACTTTGCTTTCTGAATCTCAGGCATTAGTAAATCATAACATATCACCACATACAACCATCAGTAAATTTGGTCTCAGGGGATCTGATGCCTTTTTCTGGCCTTAGGCATCAGGCCCACAGGTGGTGTAGACATATATACAGACAAAACATTCAAACATAAAATACAATTTATGTTTTTTTCAGACAGGATTTTTCCATGTTACAACTCTGGCTGTCCTGGAACTCACTTTGTAGATTAGGCTGACCTCAAACTGACAAGAGATCATCTGCTTCCTGAATGCTGGGATTAAAAGTGTACCACCACTCACCACAATACAAGTTTTTAAAAAGTGGAAAAAACAAACGGGAGGGGGGGGTCGTCAATAAAAACCGTGAGATAGGCTCGGTGGGTAAAGATGCTTGATGCCCTAGGACCTACAGATAGAAGGAGAAAATTGATTCTTGCAGGTTGACTGAATCAAGCACATTGTCATCTGACCTAAGCACACATGCCCAAACACATACACACAAAATTACTGTAATATACAAACAGATTTTCTACCTGGTAACCATCTCAGCTCCAACTCCAGGAGATTCAACTCCCTCTTCTGGTCTCTATGAGTACTACATTCAGGTGGTGTGCTTTTACATACATGCAGACAAACATTTATACAGGTAAAAACGAAGGTTTCAAACATGACATAGGTTGGAAAAATGAGTCAGCAGTGAAGGTGCTTATTGCCCTTCCAGGGTACCAGAGTTGGTCCCAGAACCCACGTCAAGTAGCTCAAACTGTAATTCTAGCTCCAAGGGATCTGATGCAACAACCTCTGGTTTCCTACAATGCACACAAACAACACAAGACAAGCATACACATAAATGACATATGGAAATTGTTAAATAATGAAACACTCTTAAAAAGTGACTTGGGGCTGGAGAGATAGCTCAGCAATTAAGAGCTTTAGCTGCTCTTTCAGAGGACCTGATAAAATTCCCAGCACCCATGGCAGCTTACAACTTCTATAACTCTAACAAGGGGCTAGCACCCTCATACAGACTTACATACAGGCAAAACACCAATGCACATAAAAATAAATCTGTTTTAAAGATTGACTTGTGAGAGGATCTGGGGCCAACAAAAGTGGGAAAAGAACTTGGATCAGTCCCCCTGCCTCAGCATCCTAAGAGCTGAAATTACACACATGAGCCACCATGCACTGGGGGAAAAATTGGATAAAAATATAGCAGCACCCAGGCTTTGTTCCTAGCAAACACATGATGGTTTACAGCTGTCTGTAACTCCAGTTCCAGGTATCTGACTCCCTTTTCTGGCCTCCATGAGCTGCCCACATAGGGAGACATATACACGCAAATACCACACACAAAATCAATATTTTAAACAGAGAGCCGGTGTTTGGTGGCACATGCCTTTACTCCCAGCACACGGGAGGCAGAGGCAGGTGGATTTCTGTGAGTTTGGGACCAGCCTGGTCTACAGAGTTCCAGGACAGCCTCCAAAGCCTGTCTCAAAAAGCCAAAAATAATAATAATAATAATAATAAATAAATAAAGTTTGCAAAGTTACAAAGGCTAGAGATAGCTCCAGGGTTACTACTGCTTACTGCTTTTGGAGAAGACCTGGGTTCAATTCCCAGCACCCACATAAGATGGCTCACAATGACCTATAACTCAAGTTCCAAGGGACCTGGTGCTATCCTCTGGTCTCTTCCGGTACATACATACACTTGAATACATATATCACATAGGCATACATACACAGCTGTAATACATAAGTCTTTTTTCTTCTAAAGACAGAATCTCACCCTATTGTCCTGACTGGTCTAGAATTCATCTGTAGACCTCAAACTCAGAAAGATCAGCTTGCTCCTGCCACCTTAGTGCCGGGATTAAAGGTGTGCACTCCCACAGTCTTAAAGCTGGTTGGACATGTCAGCCAGCCCTAAAATTAAAGGTGTGCAACTACTGAACCTGGTGGATCCCTACCTTGTTTTTCTGAGACAAGGTCTCTTCTTCGACCTGGAGCTCAGATTCAACCAGCCCCTAGGTCTGTCCATCTCTACCCCACCAGCACTGGGGTCACAGATACATATTACCATTGCATGTGGGTTATGGAGATCTGAATGGGGTTAGCCACTGAGCCATTTGTCTGGCTTGTTTTGAGACAGAGTCTCATGAAGCCCACGCTGGCCTCGAACTTACTATGTAGACAGACATGGATGCTCTTGAACTCTTCATCCTCCTGCCTCCACCTCCCATCTTCTGGGATTACAGTTGTGTGCCACCATGCCTGTTTGTGAGTATGTTACCCAGGTTACCTCTTACTCCTGAGCTTACTTAATCATCATCCTGCCTCACCCTTCCATGAAGCTGGAATTACAAGATGCCCACTTCTGTTAGAGATGGTTTTGAAGAGATAACTGTTTCCAGGTTCTGGAAAGAAGAAGAAAACTCTGTTCTTTTGTTTGTTTTGAGACAAGGTTTCTCTGTGGCTTTGGAGGCTGGCCTCAAACTCACAGAGATCTGCTGCCTCTGCCATCTGAGTGAGTGCTGGGACTAAAGGCATGTGCCACCACCGCCTGGTTCTCTGTGTAATTTTGGAGCTGGTCCTGGAACTCGTAGACCAGGCTGGACTTGAACTCACAGAGATCTGCCTGCCTCTGCCTCCTTACTGCTGGGATTAAAGGCATGCACCACCAATGCCTGGCCTTTGCAAATATTTTTATTACATTTATATGTGTGTTTGAGTGGTTGCACAGATGGAGGTTAGATGACAGTTTGCAGAAGTCAGTTCTGTGTATCACAAGGATTAAACTCAGGCTTGACAGCAGGTGCCTTCACCCATTGAACCA